AAGCCCACATTAAGCTAAATTCTGCACTAGAGTGGGCTGTCATACAGTTGGGAGGATTTATTCCAAGCACCTAGAAGGCACATGAAGGATGAATAGATGGAATTCATCAGATTTCTTTTTTCTCTGAACATATCCCAATGTGATGAAGAGAAGGAAGATGGGGCCATTCTGTCTGCAGACATCACTGCAGGTGACTCACCTCGCTGTTCTTCCTGGAAGCCCAAAAAGAGGGACGAAGATACCACATCTCACCTGAGGGTGATCTGCACTGTTCATGAGTGATGGAAATGAAAACGATTTCACATAAATGTGTGAGGGTGTAAGGGCTTTTAAAATGACAAAAGCATGTAGTCTGTCCATGCTGAATTCTACAAAGCTCTTTAATCACGATTTGCTCGCTGTGTCTCCCCCTCTAACTAAAATTAAATGTAAAATTGTAGAATTTTGGATATAAATGATCAAGGATTGAATATTTTTCTGAAAGCAATCTTTGAATAACTTTAGATCACATCTGTAGCAACATTTTAGGACACTGATATAAAAAATGACTTTACAGAAACAGTATTTTATTCATATTGATCACAAAGACTGTATCACTATAAATAATCTATTTTTTCAAATGTGAGAATGTTTCATATTTTTAATAATAAAAATTCCTGATATGCTTCAAATGACACTTGTCTTCATAATTGCCATCAATATAATCAGACAGGTAAAGGATTTCATGATTTTTCATTTCATCCAATTTTAAGATGTAGCTTTCAAAAACATCTACTGTTCATTAATAAATTTAGAAATATTTATAAAAATGGGAAAAAAATGTGAAAAACCAGTTGAAACTAGAGATTTGATAGCCAAACTGACATTGGGTAGAGTTGACAGATGAAGCCAAAAACTAGTAGAATATTTTGGGAAAGTCACCAGAATATCACATTTGATGGGTAGGAAATACACTCACGCCATGGGGCTGCTCTCTTTCACATGCAAGGGCTGCACAGCCTCTCTTGTGCTGGCTACTTCCTGCTAAAGCCACGTTGGAAAGAACAGAAAGCAACTTCTCCACACTGCCTGCTACCTATCAGGAACTCGTCTCTCACTTTCTGGTCTGAATCAGGCCAGGAAAGGCATCATTTGAGTCACATCTTTCCCTTCTTTTTTTTAAAATCATATTTTCTTTATTGATCTTTTTGACACAAACAAGGCAATCAAGAAGAGAGAAGAGTCAATAGATTTGAGGGGATGGGACAGGGAACAAGGCAGAGATTTTTATTCCTATTTACAATGTGTCTTTTATGTTTATGTACACCCAGGTGACTAGTAGGCATCTCTCTCCTCACTCTGATTGCCTTTGTTAGTGTAAATCGTTGTAATCATATTTGAAGCCTAGCTGAAGACTTTAGCCTCTTAACAGCTGAAGTAGACCTTGGAGTCACAAAGATCCCAGGTTCCAGTACCTTATATGCCAGTTCACACACCCTCTGTGGACACTGGGGAGCGATTACTTAGCAACTGTGCACATTGGTTGAAATCTATAACTGAGGGTGCCAGTGCTCACACCTCAGAAACATTATGAGACTGCAGATGCTTAGTATAGGGCTTGACATGTAAAAAGTAGTTACCATCATAATTTCCTTTTTAGAGCACCAGTCAGTGCAACACAAGACCAGGATCTGGTGGCAGTGGAGGAAACCTGTAAGCCTCAATCACTCTCACTCACCTCTGCTCATTTCCTCATCTAAAGTTGTCATTCTCCCAATAATTAAAAAACTAAAACTAGAAATTCCATTTGGCCCAGCTATTCCCCTTCTAGGTATCTTCCCAGAAGAATTAAAGACATCATATCACAGTGACACAGACTTACCTATGCTTACAGCAGCACAAAACATTAATAGGTAAATCTGAGAAGCAGCCTCTTTGTCCACCAACAGATGAATGGATAAAGAAAATGTGAAATTTATATACAATGAAGTACTACATTGGCATAAAGAAAGATAAACTTGACTCATCTGATAATGGGTACACTTTGACACCATGAAGTTAAGTGAAATAAATCAGATGCATGAATTTAAATATCACATGGTTTCTCTTACAATAAGAGAGCTAAAATATAAATAAATAGCAAAATAGAAGCTCATAGGAGGTAAGGAGATCTTTCCTGAAAGGGAAAGGAATCAAGAGATGGAGGGAGGTGGAAGGGAAGAAAGTGAAAGGGATGAAAAAGACATTAAGGCGTGTTCTGTGCACACACCAACTACACACCCCACAGGAAATATCAACATTATTACCTGCACTCATGTACTAACAGACAAAACCACGTAAACAAATACATAAATAAATAAGTTTCCTTTCTTCTTTACCATTACCTTTAAAGCTATTGTAGACTCTTATCACTGATCATGATACAAATAAGGCTTAACAGAACGGTGAACTTTTGTCCTTCCCATTGGCTAAATGATCTGCAATTAAGACACTGCAGTGTTTCAGTTAGTATAAAGGAAAGTTCTGTTATCTTTTTTTAAAAAAAAAAAGTACCTAAATACAATGGTGAACTATTTGCTGAGGTAATTTAAATCTCCTCATCCTTCCCATATGAAAGACTCTTTGTAGAGATGAGAATTAAACAAACAGACAGCTACTAATAGAACCATAACTAGAAATAATATCATAATGGTTAATCTAACGGCCCAGAGGATTAGTAAAGTACACTTATGGGTATTCCTGGGGTCAAGGGGATGTGACCTCAGGGGCTATTTCTAGTCCCTGGCCCTTTCCTCTCTGGCACTTTTCCTCTGTTCTATGCTGGAGCCATTAAGTGAGCAGCCCTTCCATCCTGAGGTTCCTGCCTTAGAGTCAGCCTGCATGGACTGAAACCTCTGAAGTCAGGAGCCAAATAAACTATTTCTTCTCCTCCTTTAAGTTTGGAGTGATAGGCATTTTGTCCCAGCAATGGAAAGTAATCAATACAATGATAGTTTCAAAAATAGCATGGAAATGATTCTTTTTCTCTCACAGGAAAGCTTCACTGACATCTTTCTCTGTGTTCTTTATAAATATATCTTCAACATCTAGAATACAATTTCCAGAGACTTCCAGAAACATCTCATTAAACTATCATTATTTTCTTTTAAAAATGCCCAAAAACAGATTCAATCACACTTTAAAGAACAACAAAATGTTAACTTTCAAGCATTTTCCTTATGAAAACAGCCTCCAATATTTGATCTTGGCTTTGAATTTGGATCACAATGAATCTAAGTAAATCACTTGATTTCTGTGACTCACTTTCTCCTACTGGAAGACAAGTGCTTTGCTACCTCGAGTACTGTTAAATAAAGTACTGCAAGAATCAAGGACTCTACCATTTTCCTGGTGTAAAGAATGCAGTAAGTGTGTAGTATTTTCATGAAACTGAAAATTTTGCTGACACATTGAGATCCATGACTGTTGGTGGCCTCACAACCAGGAGGTCTCACAGCCAGGTGGCAAAGCCAAACCCAAACACCCTCCTTTCTGTCCACAATGCAAAGCTCCCTACTGCACCCAGCTGCCCGCCTTATACCTGGGTATCTTCTAGAAACACTTTATGGAAAACAATGAGCCTATGGCTCATTCTCTCTGCCAGAGCCTTTTGTTTTACAGGCAAGATTCTTAGATGTTTGCTGGAAATAATGAGAAAACCTTGAACCAAGCCACACAAAGCAGTGAGCACACCTGCCGTCAGTCCAATTTATTGCACTTACTGGGTTTGTAAATTTCTGAGCATCTGTGTGGACACACGCTGAGAAGAACCGGGATGAATGTAGTCGCTGTTTAAGCGACACATGACATTCAGTGTCACCGAGCGCGCCCAGTTCTCCTTCGGTCTCACCTCCCTCGCTCTGCTCCTCACACCCTCTCAGCTGTAGCTGGGAACCTCCCGGCGGTGGCTCCCAGCGCTGGGCCGGGGGCGGGCACGCTAGGCAGAGCCCAGAGGCCGGGAAGCTGGAGGCGGTGGAGGCGCAGCACAGAGCAGCGAGCGCTGGCTGAGAGCTCAGCTGTGAGCTGCTTCCCTCTGCAGGGGAAGCCAGACTCCACGTGCAGACCAGGAGGATCCAAGGAAGGCTCCATCATCAGTGCAGCCCGAGCTGAAGGCAGCCAGGTGCGCCAGGAGCTGCAGGTGAGTGACGGGCCCCTCCCTCCCCACCTGCCCAGTGTCCAACAGGTTGGCCCGGGCACGGGTCCAGGAGGCCTGTGGGCAGCTCCAGGTCTCACTTGGGCACCAGTTCTCCTGCCTCGCCCTGTACGGAGGGGTCGCTATTATTTAAACTCCTGCTCCAGCCCACGCCTGTGCTAAGCCTTTTCTTTCCAATTTCCTCTTTCCTAAAATGAGCGCTCCGCTCCGCCGCGTGCTGGGGGACGCGCTCAGAACACCTGCGCCCCTGAGCCACCGGAAACTTAGGATGGGCGCGGAGTGTCTCCACGGGCGACCACACCCACGGGCGTGGGAGCAAGGACAGTGACCTCTAGTTCCCCGGGACTGCTGGGGACTGGAGTTAACAGTCAGCCCTGGTTAATTAGCCTGATTTCTCCACTAGGAGGTCAGCAGCTAAGGGCTGGGGGAGGGTGAGTGACAGTCGGACTGGAATGAGAGAGAAATGGAGGAAACTGAGTCCCCCTCTGCGTGTTCACAGCCCAGCGAAAGCTCCAGGACTCAAGTTATCCAGGAACAGACTCCGCCACCGTCTCCACGGCTTTCTGAACTTTTGATTCGGATCTCCGGGCGGCAGGAGTGAGTCTAGCCATCCTCCTCCTCGTCGTTCTCCGCCTGCCTTGCAGAGCTCCCGGTCGCCTCCTTCCCCAAGCCCTCCACCCACCGGAGCGAGGCTGGAACCGGGCCCGGTGGAGCTCTCAGTTGCAGAGCTGCGGGCAGGAGCGCGCTTGGGCCCCGCGCTCCGCAGAGTGGCCGGGCCGTCCAGGTTCCGGCTCTGCTCTTAGCCTCCTCGCTGCGCCCCTCGCGCGGCTCCCACGGGGCGGAGAGAGCCAGGGTGCGCGCGTGGGAGGTCGCTCCCTCGGGAGCCTGGGAACTCCCGACCGCCACCCGGCGCCGTGCCACCGCCCTCGCGTTCCCAGCCCTGGCGCGCCCCCAGGCCCTGGCGATCGGCATGGAGCTGCCTCCCCGCGGCCGGGGGCCTCCGGGCTCGCCGCTGTCCAGCGGCTCCCTGACCTCCTTGGAGTCCAGCGTCTTCTGCAGCGAGGGCGAAGGGGAGCCCTTGGCGCTCGGGGACTGTTTCACCGTCAACGTGGGCGGCAGCCGCTTCGTGCTCTCGCAGCAGGCGCTGTCCTGCTTCCCGCACACGCGCCTGGGCAAGCTGGCCGTGGTGGTGGCCTCCTACCGCCGCCTGGGAGCCCTGGCCGCCGCGCCCAGCCCCCTGGAGCTCTGCGACGATGCCAACCCCGTGGACAACGAGTACTTCTTCGACCGCAGCTCGCAGGCGTTCCGCTACGTCCTGCACTACTACCGCACCGGCCGCCTGCACGTCATGGAGCAGCTGTGCGCGCTCTCCTTCCTCCAGGAGATCCAGTACTGGGGCATCGACGAGCTCAGCATCGACTCCTGCTGCAGGGACAGGTACCTGCGGGGCTCCGGGCTGGGCGGGGAGGCGGGAGGCGGGAAGAGGCGCAGGGCCCGGAGAAGCAGGTGAGATCCCGCAGGCCAGGTGGAACCCAGGCCCTGGAGGGGAAGGGTGACCACCTCTGCTTCGGGGTCACAGGGAGACTCGAACTTTCTCAATGGTTTTTGCCCCTGTTGTGCATGCAGGTGGGTTGAGCCACTTTTATGTAAAAGTAGAAAGTCAGACTTGCAATAAATAAAATAGTCGGTGACTGAATAGATAAATCAGAGAAGCTGGGCTTCCAAAGATACTTGACTTGTATTGGGAGGAGGCTTTTGGTGTCCGGTATTATTTATTAAGCCTGGAACACTAACTTGGAAACACTTATGCAGAGAACTATTTTAAACGCTGTAGAAAGTCGATTGCTCCACTGAATGACTGTGGGCTCTGAATGGTAACTGTACTGTTTCTTTGCCAATGCTCCCATTTCTTCCTGAATACTTTCCTTTACAATCAGAAAGTTCCATGTAGCAGACACCTGTTCCTGCTACCCGAAAATGGGTATAAAATGCCTGGGGTCCAAAGTGGATTTGTGACATGTAAATCCTTTTCCGTACATTTATCCTAAGAGAATATCATTTTAAAAATCATAATTCTGCGTGAAAATTTTTGAAAACTGGAGAAAAACCTGACCTGAATAAAATATACAAAGATATTTTCTGCATTTTCCCGAAATAAAAAAGCTTGACTTCCCTTGTCAAGTTTAATTCTCTTCTTTTCTGGATTTTAAAAAGTCAGACTAATCACCACATTGTTTTTCCAAGATATTTCCGAAGAAAGGAGCTGAGTGAGACTCTAGACTTTAAGAAGGACACAGACGACCAGGAAAGTCAGCACGAGAGTGAGCAGGACTTCTCCCAAGGGCCTTGCCCCACAGTCCGCCAGAAGCTCTGGAATATCCTGGAGAAGCCTGGCTCCTCCACGGCCGCCCGGATCTTCGGGGTCATCTCCATCATCTTTGTGGCCGTGTCCATCGTCAACATGGCCCTGATGTCAGCAGAGTTAAGCTGGTTGAACCTGCAGCTGCTCGAAGTCCTGGAGTACGTGTGCATCAGCTGGTTCACCGGGGAGTTTGTCCTGCGTTTCCTGTGTGTGCGGGACAGGTGCCGCTTCCTGAGAAAGGTGCCCAACATCATAGACCTGCTTGCCATCTTGCCCTTCTACATCACTCTGCTGGTAGAAAGCCTGAGCGGCAGCCAGACCACGCAGGAGCTGGAAAACGTGGGACGCATCGTCCAGGTTTTGAGGCTGCTCAGGGCTCTGCGCATGCTCAAGCTGGGCAGGCATTCCACAGGTATTTCACTGAAGCCTTGTGATTCGTAGGGATTCGTGATCTGACTAATCACGAATCCTGCATAAGCATTAGTGACTTGACTGTAGTTCAGGAAAGCAACTTCAAATTGATATTCAAAATTGCCAATTTCTGTGCAAAAAGATAGGAGCAAACAAAACCTTGAAGTCCTTACCACAGGTCTTAAGGAGTTGTCTTTTGCATACTTTCTTTCTGCAAGGCATGGGGAATAATTTTGACCATTTATTTCTATGACATTGGAATCCAGGGCCCTAAGATTCAGAACAGTTAACAACCGTCTCTAGAAGGTGCTTGACAAAATAGCCGTAAGTAACATGTAAAATGGCACAATGCGTATTGTGATCTATGGGGACATAGGCTAGTTTGTCTTCATATCTAGGTGCTTGCTCGCTCTCTATATTCATTAACTAACAAGAAAATCAGCCCTCCAGCTCTTTCCCTGGTCCTGCAGGAAGAAACTGAGTGCTAATGGTCTTCCCACAACTATTGAAGAAGCCATGGAAATATTTTGCGTTGTAAGAATGAGAAGAAACCTATTAAGGCTTTGTCTAGTATTCCAAAATTTTCTTGTCCCTAACTTGTGATGTATGAGATTTGGGAGGAAATGGAAATTATTTACTTTTCTAAAGAGACATTAAAATTCAAGTGACCACGCCGTAGATAAACATCCCTTTAGCACAACGGCTACACACACACACACACCTAACTGTACATAAGGCTTATAGTCAATGGAGGGGATGCCACATGATGGATCCCCGCAATTGCTGATTGTTCTGGAGTAACATATGACTTCTCTTATATCAGACCTTAAGAAAAGTGGGAATGTCCTGGCCAATTTGTTTAAATACAGGTCCTGAGTGCCAAAACACAGAGGGTTGGATTTTAGTACTGAGGTTGAATCCAGGAGCATTTTAATTCCAATTAATTGTGTAGAAGGTGATTCTTGTCCCACGTAGGCTGCCATATCAGTTCAACACATATTCATGCAAAGGCGTATTGGACTGGTACCAACAAGTTGATTGGAGATCCCTATTGTTACCTTATTTCCTTAAACATGTCCCTGACAAGCCACCTGAAAAGGATAAGTAGCTGTGCCTTGCTATAAATTTAAAGAGAAATTAACTTCTGTGTTTTTTTTTCTGGTAATTAGAACGTATCCTAATATAATTTTGGTAGTATAATTTTCCAGCTAGTCTCACATGCTATGAGAAAGGGGTTTCCAGCAACTTTTATAAGAACCACTCTTTGTTTTCTGACATGCATAATGGGGTGCTTTCTTTGGGTATTTATAAACTCTTCACAAGATTCAATTTTAAAAGCACCGGGCAAAGACTACATTTTTTCCCCAATTAAAGGAGAAGGAAAATAACTGTAATTTCCTCTGTGTTACTTCTTAAGTTTTCTCAGTTCCAAATAAGTATAAAGGATTACAAAACCTGAATTGAGTGAAAATATGTGACAATCATATGCTTATTGGATCATTTTACCTCAAGCACAACATATAGTAAAATGTAGACATAGACACTGTATGTTCCCATGCATTAATTGTGAGCAAAATTGTAGAGGAACTGTAGGGTCTAGATAGCAGGTCAGACAGGCTGGGTTTAAATTCCAGCACTGCAGGTTGGGAATAGATAAGCTAAGTCTCTACCCTCAGCTCCTCTTTTGTAAAATGGTACCATAATAACATGTCTTATATTGATTTTTGAGGACTATTTGAGTTAATAGATATAACAGGCTAGACATATAGTCCCCTTTTATGTTTCTTTACAAAAATATTTAGAATACTCCATCTTCCCAGATAAACACTACTCTTCTCATAAATTCTGAATTTCATAAATGTCATTCCATATAGACACATTAAGGCTAGTTTTATAAAATAGGTATTTTAAAAGTGTTCTGAAAGGTATTCTTTTGAAGATAAGCAGAAAAATGAATACATATTGGTCTTTTAAAATGGCTGATTATATATACAAGAAGACTTCAAAACTTGAAGAGCTAAATTCAAAATAAAGAGGACCTGAATGATATTCTAATGCATTTCAAATAATCTTTTAAAATGGTGCTAAGGAGTATTGCTTCAGACCCCTGAAGCAATGTCATTGCGATATCAGTTGATATCATTTCAAAAATGTGGATAAGCTTTTAGCAGCTAGTGGTTAATTCAAATCCTAGTTTAGTTTATCATGGTCGCCTCTCTTTAGGGCTTCGCCTCTTCACAGGTAGGGCTGGACCTCTTGGGCCTGTATCTTAGAGGTTCAATAAATCATCAAATCTGGCAGGTGGAAATGCACCAAGGCCTCATAGTGAGTGAATTCCCTGGTGGTTCCATTCCCATATTTGTTTGCAGAGGAATAGTCTGTGTTCGGTTATATCTCTTTAAAGTTCACAGGAAAATAATTTCCTGTAGCTTTGGTATTATGGACTAAGACTTCTATTGGTGGTGGTGGGAGTTCAGGACTCTTTTCCTGATACGTGATTAAGACTGTCCCCAAAAGACAGATGACATCAGTTTAGCCCCACGGCCTAACTTGCTTTGGCTGCTTTGCTTATCGCCATGGTGCACACGCTACTTCCTCTGTCCTTCAGGAAATGAGGTGGCCAATACATTAACCCTCATCAGGAGGACGAGAAACTCGGACACAAGAAGACAAAATAAAACTAGTATCAGAAGGAAGTGCTGAAATGTTGTACTGAAATTCGATTTGACCAGGGGAGGCCTCTGTGCAACACTACAAAGATCTTCTGTGGGCCTGGGGATTTAGCTCAGCAGCATAAGCTCCTGCCTCGCAAGCAGGCAGTCGTGAGTTCGATCCCTGGTACCGATAAAAACGAAAAAGACCAAAAAAAAAAAAAAAAAAAAAAAAAGATCTTCTGCTAAGAATATAAAAGTCCTAGTACAGACCCTCAGCCTGCCTGTTAGAAATAATTCACCTTTTAAAAACATGAATTGTACAAGTTCAAAAACTATACTTTTCTCTATCCTCTGAAGCTAACCTGAAGCTTCCTGAAGACTTATTCATCTTTCCATCCCCAGAGCACTGCCTGGTGTTGGAGACTTATTTAGCTGTTTAGTGCGTGTCTGTGGGTGACAGCTGGGGTGGGGAGGGCAGGGAGAATGGAGGGGTCCCATGATGACAGTGACTGACACAAGGTATTCTCTTGCAGGACTCCGCTCCCTTGGGATGACAATCACCCAGTGCTATGAAGAAGTTGGCCTCCTGCTCCTGTTTCTATCTGTGGGGATTTCTATATTTTCAACTGTTGAATATTTTGCAGAGCAAAGCATTCCCGACACAACCTTCACAAGTGTCCCTTGTGCATGGTGGTGGGCCACTACATCCATGACTACTGTGGGATACGGGGACATTAGGCCAGACACCACCACAGGAAAAATCGTGGCCTTCATGTGTATATTATCGGGAATCCTGGTCTTGGCTTTGCCTATTGCTATTATTAACGATCGCTTCTCTGCCTGTTACTTCACCTTGAAACTCAAAGAAGCAGCTGCTAGACAGCGTGAAGCTCTGAAGAAGCTCACCAAGAATATAGCCACTGATTCCTACATCAGTGTGAACCTCCGAGATGTCTATGCCCGGAGTATCATGGAGATGCTGCGTTTAAAAGGCAGAGAGAGAGCAAGTACCAGAAGCAGCGGGGGAGACGATTTCTGGTTTTAAACTTGTTTTCAATTTATTTCCAAAAGCTGTGTACAATTAACTCAATTGATAAAGCCTTGCTGCAGATGTTTGCATTGCCGATGAGGAATCTTCCGAGTTCTCTCCACTTCATATTTGATGATACATTATTTGGTCCAGTAGAATATTTCACACCCTGCCCCATAGCAATTACACATTGTTTTGATACATCTGCGTCTCAAAAAGAGACACAGTTAGCAAAAGAAAATAGCATTATGGCCACTCACCCATGTATGGTTTGTCAAATCTAAGATAACATTATTGCAGTATATCCAATTGTAGTTGAAAGTTGTATATGTGTCTCTACTTTTAGAAAGTATTTTGCACCAGTACAAAATACAAAAATTAAACTGCTAGTCCAGAGCTAAGATAAGTGAACCTTTAAGAACACTCTGAACATCTTCGCTATTTAAAGATATTTTCTGAGTCAGTTACTACTCCCTTCTCCGTTATTGCAAGCTCTTGAGTGTAACAATTAGCTGTGCGAGAAAAACCTGACTTAGGGGTCACATTCTGTGTCCCTGTCTTCCACATGGTGCAAGTTACAACTCACAGCCAACCTCCCATCTTTACTGCTACGGGCGGGGGCCCCAAAACTACCTAACCTGCAGTAAATGAGTTTGCACAGACTCCAGAATCCCAGTTCTCCATGAAAATCAGGCTAATTGCAAGATATTTCATTATAGATGTTTTAAGTCACGTCTTGAAAATTATGACTATGTAAAAGTGAAGTTGTGAGCATCCTAAATTTACCAGCGGAGATTATTAAATAGTCTTATTTCATAAAGCAAGAATATGTTGAATGACATCATTGGATGAACTTGCAGATTCTTAATTTGTTAACAAAAAATATTATGGATAGATTTCTGATTGTTGGGGTAAATAACAAATGTTCAAACTTTGCAGGCATTGTGACAACATTTTGACATTCATGATAATAAAATTCCTAGACATTCTGTTACATAATTAAAGCCAAAACCTCTAAGCTAAGAGTGAGCTTATGATTCCAAATATTCCAGAAAAGTAAATTTTTTTCTAAAGTAACAAGAGTAACAAGGAGTGTATCTCTTAATATCTGTTTCATCTATATATGAAAAAATATTAGATCTTGGTGAGGATATTTTTTCTTCTGAATAAAACTCAGATATACTGGCCAGTGATTTAGCTCAGTGGCATAAGCATCTGCCTGGAAAGCGTGATTTCGTTTCCGATACCAAAACAAAAACAAAAATAGAGATATAAATTCAGTATGCAAATATAGATAAAAAATATCTGACCTTAAAATTTCATGAAGAGGAATTTTATGGAAAATGCCTAGAAAGCTATTTGCTGAGGATGGGTGATGATATCATTAAAAACCTTTGCTTCACTCTGTGGCTATAACATATTTCATCATCTGTATTTAAGACACCCTCTATATTGTGAAATATCCAAAAAGAAGGTTCCATGAGTTGACAGATGCTGTGAATGATAAAATGCACCCAGATTTTGACCCTGTAACATATAGTATATATCTTAAAAAACTATGAACTATCTCATGTACTACCTCTTGTTTGCTAGTATGCCTGCTTAAGCTTGAAGACTTCCATTTGTGGTACGAATTTTAGATTATATTCGAAAGTACTTTCATCTGTGTGACTTGCTTTCACTACTCCTGAATATTAGAAAATATGGGTTTGAACAAACATCTTACACACAGACACGAGTGTGAGGTCATGGCACAGGGCCACCAGTCCTGGTATAAATCTATTCACATTCTGAAGGGAAGGAGAAATTAGATGCAGAGACAATCACACTCTGGCTTCTCTAGAGGTTTCCCTGATGAGGACAGCTACTCTGCTTTAGTACTAGCCTCTGTACTCACCAAGTATTGTAACACATTATGCCGAAAATATCCCAGTTTTATATATTACTAATCTTATACTTCTCTAAATGTATATTTTATAAATTTAATAATTCAGAAGTATTTCTTTAGTATCTCTCTGGGTGGTGGGGACTGACTATTCTTTGTCAAACAAGACTAAGTCCTGATCTTTTGTGTTTAATAGTCTATTCAAGGATGTTGGGAGATGTCAAAACTGAGCTATTAAAATATGTAAATTTATCTAAATTCATACAGCCTACAGGTGGAAGAATCAGGAGTGAACATCAATCTACCTGACTTGGAAAAGCAAAACTCTGAAAGTCACATTGTAGATTTTATTCTTCCCCCAAAACCCACGCACAGGGATTTATTCCAGAGGCAGAGAAGCAAGCTCTTTGTGGAGGGCAAGTTTTACTATTCCTTGAGAAAAACATCAGTTTATTCTCAGATGGAGAATGGTGCTTTTAAAACATGGTTGTGACAACTTCGTTATTGGACAAGAAAAATAGTATTAGAATAATTAACAGTTAGACATTTTAAATGAATAATTTTATGTGTGTATACTTATTCATATATTTTTGTCCTCTAACAGGATCCCAAACATATTCTACATGAATGTGCTTTGTTAGCTATATAAAATTTGTCAAGATATGGACATTTCAAAAAAGTTCCAAAATACTGCTTTGTTAATTTTGCTGTTACACAAAATATGGATGGGTTTATTCAGTGAGTGTTTATATACGCAGATTAAGTTTAATTTACATGACACATCGCGGCGGGAACTATCAGTTTTGTATTCCATCATTTTAAAAATATTGAACATTCTTCAAAATCTAAGAATTATTCTGAGAAAATGCTACTTAATTCATTTAGAAATACAAAACAATGGAGCTATTGTCTTCTTCTAAGTTATTTGGAGCACACAGAGTAAAAACTTTTGAATGCACAATCTTGCCACAAAAGAGCAATTTTAAGAAATTACTGAAAACTCTACCAGAAACCACATCACATTTATATTCTATTTTTCCCCCATAGGTGGAATACACACACACATACGCACACGCACAGAATTGTGGCACTTATTTTAATGGAAAATAATACTAAGCATAATATATAATTCTCAAGAGAGTTCACTGGAGTAGAAATATCAGTTCTGTGTTTCAGTGGGGATTCCTACTCTCATTAGATTTTTTTGAACCAGCTCATAAAGAAAATATACATCCAGGGGCTGGGGATTTAGCTCAGCGGCATAAGCACCTGCCTTGCAAGCAGGCGGTCATGAGTTCGATCCCTGGTACCGATAAAAAATGAAAAAGACAAAAAAAAAGAAAAAAAAAGAAAAAAGAAAATATACATCCTTACCCAAGTTATTTAAGCAAAGTATTATCATTTGGTAGGCTTACTATTCTGACAAGTATTTATACTTACATATTTTTAATATGAAAAGCTTCTTTTGAAAAATTAGCCATTATTATCTGTCATTTTTGCATACTAGGAATTGAACTCAGGACCTTGCTCCTACCAGGCAGGCACTTATGCTGTTGAGCTACATCACCAGTCCCTATATAAACCTGTCTTATTAATAATTTGTGACCAAAAGTTGAAGATTGGTTGACTGAACAATAATGTATTTCCACACTTACCTTGATGATTTCTCTTCCTAAAGCACCACCATGCCCACACATCTCCCCAAGCCAGGCTGACAAATAAGTGAATGACGCCCCACAGGGAGAGTTTTACTCATAAGCCTCACTGGCGATTGTTACATGCAATGTCCTTAGGAGTAATGGAATGACTCGGATACTCATGATTCTTGTGACCTCACTTTAGATTAGCATAATCTATTCCCTGTTCACCTGCTTTTCTCCGCTGGCCTCTGACTTTCTCTCTCTTCCTTTCTGGTCATTTGGCAACACTGAAACCCTAATCCAGCCCATTCCACAGCCTACATTTGCCTGCTCCTCTAGAGCCAATGATGATGGCAGAAGAACACACACACACGTGCTGATTGCTCTCATTTTGCATTCATGTCTCCAAGCCCAGTTGGGTTCTTCATGCTGCCAGGGAATCGTGCTGCAATTCCTGAGTGCATTCGCTTTCAAAATAAATGGAAACCGCTAAAGCCTCATTCCGATTCCTCTTTCACTGGGAGAATTAAATGATGGAAGAGATTTTCTACAGGAAGCAGCACCCACATCTATCCACCTACCTCCATCTGTGCCTCCTCACTCTGCCTTTCCTCATTACACGGGTTGAACTTTCCAACCCACTCTTTCCTCCAACTCTTGGAGACAATGCTTCAGAAAGGCTCTCCTCTTCCCCTGCACTTCTCTCCTTCTCTACTGGAAATTTCTGTCAACCTAAAAATATGATTCATTTTTCTACCCTAAAAGAATGGAAAGGAAAAACCAAGCAAGGAAACTCTTAGTCTTGGTCATTCTCTAGAACACACCAAATGGCCAGCTCCCCTCCATGGCAAAACCTGACAGAATTTCTCTGCTCAACCCTCCATTTCTTGATTCACTGTTTTCCATTCTTTCTTGAAAATTCACTCAAGTCATTATCTCATCTCTACATATTCTATAAGACTGTTCTTATTGTCAGCAGCAACCCTGTTATTGTTAAATCCAATATCCAATGTTCAGAATCCTTATTTCTCAGTCCATCAGCAATATTTTACAAGAGCAATTGCAGGTTCCTCCTTAAAACACTCCCATGACTTGATAATGCTCATCACAGTCTCTTAATTTTTCTTCAGCTTCACTGCTCAGCCCTCTTTCTGGTTGAGGTGGTCAATCAAGTTCTAAGCTGAAGTTCTTTTCTGCTCTTTGTTATTCTGCTCCCCAGATAAAATAACCTGATTCCACGACTCATGTATTACTGACAGGCAACTTCCAAACTTTTATGTCTATTTCTATTTCCATTCACTTTCTGCAGCTGTTCGACAACTGTCTAATGAATAACTCACAATTAATACATCTGATTTCAAAACATCAACGTTTTCCCAAAACTCTAAGTTTCAGCCCTCTGCAAAGCAGATCAAAGCAGATGATTATTGCGATACAGATTAGATGCAAGCTGTTTATACTGGGATAAAAAGCCTTGAATGATGAAAAGAAGAATCTTCTGTTCTGAATGCAGATCTGACGGCTCCAAAGAAGAGGAAAGACTGGGTAGATGCATCTTTGATATTTCAGTCATGGTGATGGACAGGAGAAAAGTAGCCCATCAAGGCGTGCTAGTCCTGTTCCAGAAAGTCTCTGGCTCTCAGTTGCCCTCATTCCCACATGAAGGGGAACCTAGCTGTGCATTTTCCTTGGCACCATCATATGGAGCTGCATATGATGTGTTTCCATGATATGTCTGTGTTTCCATGTAGGTTTAGTGGGACGCCTCAACCCCATATCCCAAGGCCTCTCTGAGGGGAAGACAGAAAAGCAGGTCGTGGAATGAACTAGAACCCTGATTGCTGCAACTGGCCTGGGAAGCAACTTGTAGTCATTCTCCCCTTCTCCTGCCATTACAGCACCACACTAAAGCGTATGATCTCTCCCCACGCTGCAGAACCCTAAGAATTACAAGTTAAGTCCACAACAGCTTGTATCAGCCTCCAAGAACAAGCTTAGGTCCTGGAAAATAATTTTTATCATTATTACACACTGAAACACATCCTAATAGTTATGCTACATAGAATTGCCATCATCATGCTGTTGTTTACTTTTATAGTTGAGCAAAGGAATAGCATGAAAATGATATTTTGGGCAGAAATTTCAAGATTATCTAAATTCTATTCTTTTTCTTTTGCCAAGTTAGTAACATCACACCAAATATTATTTTAGTGGATACTTTTAATAATCTGAAATAATAAAGTTTCATGTTTACATTCTGTAAGACCATTGAGATAAGTAAGTACATGTCCAGTAGCAGTGCAGCTAAATCTAAAGTAATAGACAAACTAAATGAATTTTTAAAAACTTTAATTTCATGCTCTACAGTTGAGTGGCAACTCTCCCAATTACACACAACAGTCCTTTACTTTATTTAGAGAATCAATAGCCTAAGAGGTTTGGTTAAAAAAAATGATAATCATCTTTTTACATTATTTCATTGTTTAATACTCAAATTATATTCAAACAAGTAGTTGAAAAGATTTGACAAGTTAGGAGAAGGTGTATACACATAAAAAAGTAAAACTTAGGGCAACAAATGTACTTTTGGAATTATAGGAGAAAAAATCTTTTATACATATCAATAATCATCTCAATACATCACACTGGATATATGGATAGAATTTCAACTATGTCCCTAAGAAAAATCAAATCTTACCTTAAAAGTGATTTAAATTTCTCTAAACTAGGACAATATTTTCAAAACCTTGTCTTTTTGCATGTCTTTGCTATGTAGCAAATGTTTTATCTTAAATGGTCTATAATTATCGTCAACTAATTCTAAATGGTGTATGTGAAAATAAGACAGTTACGTTACCATGGAAACTGTACTTTGTAGGAAATTTATTCAATAGGCTTTGCTTCTAAAGTCAAAAAACAAGATCCTCACAGACAATAACATCACCTTGACCACAAGCAACTTAAAAAATATTGAAAATGTAAAAATAAAACATTCTACATTTTACTGAAATCAAAGCATCTTTTTTCATATAATCTTTATTATTCATACATATATCATTTATCTTTACTTATTTAGACATCAATTGAAAAATTTTTTTCTATAAAAATCCTTTGTGGGTAACAGTAAAATTTATTTTTCTAATATTAATTTTTATTTTTTAAAAATTTCATGGATATATAAAACATAAAAATGTTTCATATTGAGTTACCATGTTCTATTTTGACACATGTTTACATTATGTTGTAAGTAGATCAAGTAAGCACGTCTATCTCCTCAAAAATTTATTTATGGTGGAAACCCAAAATCACTCCTTCTAGTTTTTGTAAATGAACAGTACCAAGCCCTTCTACCAGATCCGGATTGCATGGAGTTCCTGTCTTCCTCTGCCCTCAATCCATGACTCTCCTGCCTGGTGATGACCCCTCGGGGCCAATATATAACTGTATGGACATTATTGACTCAGTCTCAGCCTGTGAGTTGACCTGATTGATGCCCCGCTTGTCCAGCCTGAAGCCACCCTTTTCACAGACAGCAGCAGTTACCTCTACTATGGTATTCGAGTGCCAGGAGCTACAGTGACCACTGAAACTGAGGTAATATGAGCCCAAAATCAGGAT